TCCTCTAGGAACTTTAATTATCAACACAAACACCCTGAATTCTGGCTTATCCCTCTCAGAAACCACAGATCATTTAAAATCTGTTTTGAATCCAAAGGCACTTTCTGGTCTTGGGGCCACACAATGTAACCCGAGAGCCTTTCTGGACTGGAGGCAGCAGACCCTGTCATCCCAAAGGCAATCAACAAAACCAGGAAAACCCACCGCCAGGAACCCTAAGAAAACGAGCACACAAAAGGTGTCAGAAGTAAACACACACAAAAGAAAACCACAGAAACTTGGGTCTGATGATGAAAGAGGAAGAGAAGTCACTTTTAGACCAGCAATTGCCTCCGTCGACCTTGCGATCCCTGGGTCCAATCTCATGAGACTCCCTGAGACTGCAGAGGTGGCTGGCTGAGGGCACAGGAGGAGGCCTGCACCACAGAATGCAGGGGTCACTTCTGGCAGGTACGTGAGCGCGGCGGTCACTGCTGTGACCCTCCCCATCAAGGGGTTACTTGGTTCCATCATGATCTAGGTTTTCCTTCTGCTTTGAATATTCTCTCCGTCTCCCCTTCATTTCTGGCTTCCACCCGAATCTCACGAGGCTGTTGACTCTCCCTGACATTGTCCACAAGGTCCAGTCCAGTGAGATTGTCATCTCCCTCTTCTCCTGTTTTTTTTTTCTCCTAATTGCCACCCTCCCTGCCTTGAATACCCTGTGCACCAGCGCCACCCCGATTCCTTTTCCTCCCCATCATGCTGTTCTTTTCTCCTCCTTTTTCTCTTTCCTGTGCCGAGAATATTAATTATAATGACCAACACTTTTGAGTGTTCACCGTGCATCCAACATGTACAGATAGTCCCCAAATTATGAGGGTTCAGCTTGCAATTTTCCAACCTGGCAATGAAGTGTACCTAGACAACAGTTCTGAGGGCAGTGCTGGAATATTGCATGAGATATCCAACCCTGGATTATAAATAGGTGTTCTGCGAGACGGTTTTGCCCAACTGAAGGCCGGGGTAAGTGTTCTGAGCTCGTTGAAGTTGGACTCTGCTAAGCTGTGCTGATCACTAAGTTATGTGTATCAACCTGTGATATTCAACTGTGCTGGGTTTATCAGAATGTAACCTTACGCTGAAGTGAAGGGCATCCATGCAATCCCATTTAATCCTCACAGTAGACGGGGGCGGGGGGGGCACTATTATCCCCATTTCACAGATGACAAGATGTGGACACAGAGAGGTTGTTTTTTTGTCTGAGGTCAAACAGCTGAGAACTATTCAAATGAGAGAGACAGGATTCATACCCAAGGCTTCTGGCCTGAGATCTGTACTATACTGCTCCTCCCACAGAATTCTGCCTGGAGACCTCAGTCTTTCCACTCCCTGTCTCTTGTGATTCTATGGCTTTAGTGACCACCTCTTTGAAACCCCATTTTTGAAACCCCCATCCATCCTTCCAGCTCTAGATCAAATGATATCAAAGCTTCATTTCATTAAGCACCTGTAGAGGGCTGGGGCAGTAGCTCAGGGGCAGAGCCCTTGCCTAGCATGAGTGAGGCACTGGGTTCGATCCTCAGCACCATGTAGAAATAAATGAATAAAATAAAGGCATTCTGTCCATCTACCAAAAAATTGGTTAAAAAATAATTTTTAAAAAGCACCTAAAGAAGCCTGACTTCGGGCTAAAATTGCTTTCCACTCATTATAACACACGTAGATGAGAAATGGCATCGTGGAGAAGTTATGTGGATTGCTAGAAGTGTCACTGCCACTTAGATATTAAAGTCTATTGCCTGCTTCTGAAACTATCAAAATACATCACCTACTTGGAGGCAAATGTCCTCACCCTTGCAGCCTCCAGCAGAGACTCTCACATATAAAAGGTGTTCGGTATATATCTGTGGAATCCAAGGTGAGACAAGCTCCAAGCAAGATTTTTCCTGGTTTTGTTTTTTGGTTGGTTTGTTTTTGTTTTGATGTTGTTTGTGGTTGCTTTTTTTTTTTCAACTGGAAGAAGAGTCCTGGATATTTCTAAGATGGATTGTTTGTGAATTTCAGTGATCCATGGACTCCCTGCCCACATCATTGGACAGAAGCAGCTTGTGTGGTGGAATGGGCATCAAGTCAAGAATTAAAATAGATTCTAATCCAAATGATAATTGAAGTAGCAAAGATGGGGTGCATGTAACACCTTCCACATGTTCCCCAATTTAGCTCCTCACCACAATCTCATGAAGTAGGCTCTGCTGGACCATATAAGGAAACAGAGAAGTTAAACAGCCTCACCAACCTTGCACAACGAGAGTCCTAGCAACTTAACTCCTGAGGACCTCTTTCCTCATCCACAAAATGAGTCAAGGAGTGACTTCTAATTTCATAGAATTCTGGGCTTCCGCTCTGCTGAATGACCCTTTGGAAACTCTAATTTAAGACACATTCACCCATATTAGCAAGTTTGGGGTTAGTAGCTTGCAAAAAGACTCATCTTAAACATATCAGTGCCCAGACAAGGAGCTACTCTATTCAGACATATATTTTACCAACTGGCTCTGTGAACTAGTTATATTTGGGAAGGTGTGAAGCTTAAGTGTCTGCTGCAACATTAATTGTTGCTGGGCTGGGGATGTGGCTCAAGGGGTAGCGCGCTCGCCTGGCATGCGTGCGGCCCGGGTTCGATCCTCAGCACCACATACAAACAAAGATGTTGTGTCTGCCAAAAACTGAAAAATAAATATAAAAAATAAATAAATAAACATACTTGTACTCTTGAAAAAAAAAACAATTAATTGTTGCACAAAAATAAAAGGAAGGGAGTTTTTAAGGAAACATGGAAGGGTCAGGCCATGAAGCAGTTCGTAGCTATCTTAGCCAGTTTTCCATGGCTATAACAAAATACCTGATATAAATAACTTAAAGGATGAAAGACTTATTTGGGCTCACAGAAAAATCAGAGATTTCAGACCAGGCTTGCTGGGCCTCATTTCTTTGAATCTGTGATGAAATAGGACACCACTAAGGGAAAGCCTGTGGGGCAAAGTTGCTCACTTCATGGTGGCCAGGTGAAAAGGAAGAGAGAGGAAGGAGCTCGGGTCCCACAGTCCCCTTCAAAGGCATGCCCCCAATGACCTAACTTCCTCCCATTAGGCTCCACCTCTTAAAGGTTTCTCCACTTCCCAATTACACCATGGGCTGGCAACTCAGCTTTTACAGATGGTGGGCCGTGGGACACTCAAGATCCAAACTTCAGCAGGAAGAGCATCCTGAATTATCCACGTGGGCCTAATGTCATCACAAGAGGAAGGCAGGAACCAGAAAGAAGAGATCACAATGGCGAATCTAAAGGTGGAGTGAGTCAAGGAACGTGGGCCTCTTTTACAGGCTAGAAAAAGCAAAGCCAAAAGTTTAGCCTGGAGAGACTGATTCCAGACGTCCAACCTCCACAACCGTAAAAGGATATGTTTGAGCTGAGTTAAGCCACTAAGTTCACTGTCATTTGTCATAGCAGCCATCAGAATCGCTTGGAGGTCCCGACGGGTTTCAGATCACTCTTTCTCCAATTCTTGAAGGATCACTGCCAGACTTTTCTCCCAAATCCTGCCGTTGGTCTGGATTGACCCAAAATGACCAAATAAATTTACTGGACTTTGAGACTCAGACCTGGATCTCGAGATGGGTAAAGAGGTCATGAGCCGAAGAAGGAAGGTAGCTTCTAGAAGCTGGAAGGACGTGGATTCTTCCCTAGAACTTTCAAAAGGAACCAGGGTGGGTGGATGGGTGGATGGAGGGATAGATTTGAGAAGGGATTTGTTAGGGAATTTTCTTACATGATTATGGAGACTGAGAAGTTCTACAGCTGGCCATCTGCAAGTGGAGACCCAGGGATGTCCGTGTGGCTCAGTCCAAGTCCAGAAGCCTCGGCACCAGGGAGGTTGATGGTGTAACTCTCAGTTCAAAGACAAAGACCCGAGAACCCGGGGGGATGGGAAAGGGTACTGCTGGCAAAAGTCCCAGAATCCAAATGTCAGAGAACTTGGAGTCCTGTCTGGCATCCAAGGGCAGAGAAGACAGGTGCCCCAGCCCCAGGAGACAGAGGAAGGTCATCTTCCCTTTGCCCAGCCCTCAGCCTGTATGGTTCCTGCCCTCCATAAGGGAGCGGGGAGGTCCTCCGACTCAGTCCACCAACTCAGGCCAATCTCCAGAAGCACCTCACACACACCCAGGTATAAAGCCCGGCCAGTTCTCCAGGTATCTTTTTACCCAACCGAGACAACGTAACTGAAATTAACTGACCCAGGTATTATGGAGACAGGACTGGGCTTTGCCCAGCTCCACCCCAAGATATTAATGACTGATAGAGGGTGATTCCTAGTTGAGAGCTTCAGTTCTTCCAGGTGAAAAGAGTTATGGAGAAGGGTGGGGGTGGCTGCTGTACCGAACTCCACTTAGAAATGATGAGGGTGATTTTATGTCATGTGTAGGTTACCAGAATAAAATGATGGGGGGAGACATTAGTGAGTGCTGTGATTTGGATGTGTTCCCCCAAAGTTCGTGTGCTGGAAACTTAATCCCCAGGGCAACAGCTTTGAGAGGTGGGACCTTTAAGAATGGATTTCATGTCATGACCCGGGGAGTTGGTTCATGATCACAGGAGAAGCTTCCTATAAAGGATGACACCCCCCCTCCTCTCCCCACCCCCTCTCGCCCTCTCTTCCAGTTCTGCTTTCTGGCATGTTTTGATGCAGCAAGGCACCTCTAACCACAAAAATATAACGGGCACCTCACTTGGACTTCCTAACCTCTAGAAGCATGAGTCAAATTTCTGCTCATTATAAATACCCACTCTCTGGTTCTGTGTAATAGCAACATACAACAAACTGAAGCAGTGATCGAGATAGATTTTACTGGATCGTTCACAAGCCAGATGAAGGGGAGATTGCATCACGGGGCATGTTGCATTTTACTCAAAAGAATCATAATTCCCACCTCCTCACTTCACAGCCACCAGCTGCCACATGTCCTCTCTGTTAACTGATACACAGTCCTTGGAGGAGTTACTGGAATCTTTCCTCAATTTTCTCATGTCTCTCCCTTCTGTTCCAGGACTCTGCTTTCTGCTGAGCTTGTCTGGAGCTGAGGCTCAGGTTGCCAAAGGTGAGTGTCCAGAGCCTGACAGGTGGCTGTGAATCAGGGGTGGACCTGGGGCCACCCTTGTCTTCAAACACGGGAGGTCTTTCCATCTTACAAAGTCTTCTTCGATTTCTTCCTTCAGTGTGCTGTGGTTTCCATTGTAGAGGTCTTTCACCTCTTTGGTTAAACTGATTCCCAAGTATTTTATTTTTTCAAAGCTACTGTTTTCCTAATTTCTCTTTCAGCGGATTCATCATTGGTGTATAGGAATGCAACTAACTTGTGGGTATTCATTTTATGTCCTGCTACTTTTCTGAATTTATTTATGAGTTCTAGAAGTTTTCTGGTGGAGTGTTTTGGGGTCTTCTAAATATAGAATCATGTTATTGGCAAATAGACTTTCATATCCCTTTAATTTCTTTCTTTTATTTAATTGCTCTGGCTAGAGCTTCAAGGATTATGTTGAATAGAAGCCGTGAAAGAGGCCACCCGTATCTTGTTCCAGGTTTTAGAGGGAATGCTTTCAGCTTTCCTTTATTCAGAATAGGGTTGGCCTTGGGTTTGACACATATAGTTTTTATAATGTTGAGGTATGTTCCTACTATCCCTAGTTTTTCTAGTGTTTTCAACATGAAACAGTCTGTATTTTGTCAAATGCTTTGTCTGCAGCTATTGAGATAATCATGTGATTCTTGTCTTTAAATCTATTGATGTGATGAATTACATTTATTGATTTTGGTATGTTGAACCAACCTTGCATTCCTGGGATGAGCCCCACTTGATCATGGTGCACTATCTTTTTAATATGTTTTTTATGTGATTTCCCAGAATTTTATTAAGAATTTTTGCATCTAAGTTCATCAAGGAGATTGGTCTGAATTTCTTTCCTTGACGTGTCTTTGTCTGGTTTTGGTATCAGGGTGATGGCTTCATAGAACAAGTTTGGAAGGGCCCCCTCCCTTTCTATTTCATGGAATAATTTGAGGAGGATTGGTGTTCGTTCTTCTTTAAAGGTCTTGCAGAATTTGCCTGAGAATCCATCTGATCCTGGGCTTTTCTTTATCAGTAGGCTTTTGATGGTGTCTTCAGTTTCATTACTTGAAACTGAGGTTTAAATTGTCTCTGTTCTCCTGGTTTAGTTCCGTAGGTCGTACGTCTCGAGAAATTTGTCAATGACTTGAAGATTTTTCTAATATATTGGAGTATAAATTTTCAAAATCATTTCTGATGATCCTCTGCACTTCAGTAGCACCTGTGGTGACGCTTCCTTTTTCATTCATGGGTTTTAATAACTTGAGTTTCTCCCTCTTTCTTCTGGTTAGAGATAATACCTTGCCTTCTAGCAGATAATAATGGAAAGAAATGAGAAATCAACAAGATACAAAATAGAAGCTTCTCTAACACCTGGATGTGGAATGCCTCCAGCATGGATTGCTCTTTTTGCTGAGGAATTGCTTTGGCTGTCCTGGGTCTTTGGCTTTTCCCTGAGTGTTCAACCCCAGGGCTGCAGATGCCCCAAGCATACTTACTACTCATCCCAAAGAAATAACTTGGAGAGCTCAAGGGAGAGGTCTGGAACATTTGACCCCTTCCTCCCCAGCAGCAGGGGGTTGGAATACAGGGAGGACTTCCCGGTGCCTACAGAACGGGGACTACCTAGGGCAGGTTGCTGGCCACTGCCCAAGAGGGTCTCTTCAGATGTCTTGTGGGTACATTCCTCTACTTCCCAACCAGGGTCGATCCTCTCCTGAGGACTGGGGATGAGGGAGGTGGCCAGCTCCCCCTCCCCATTTCCTTTGTTACCCCCATCTTTAGAGACCTTCCCTCACCGCGAGCTTTCTTAGGCGTCGATTAGTGTTTGACCCGACACTGTGAATTTTAGGATTTTTTTCTTCTAGTTCCATGAACAATGTCTGCTCTCTTGACGGGGACTGCATGGAACCTGGGGGTCACTCTGGCAAAATGGCCGTTGTATCAATATTCATTCTGCTGACGCGTGATGGGGAGGGCCACGTGAGGTTTGACCTGCCTCTCTTCTCCCGGCAGGCCCCTGCAATCGGTGCCCCTTGCACGGTTCCTGCGTCAACAGCACTCACTGCACCTGCAACCCTGGATTTATTTCTGGATCTGGGAAGCAATTTTTCACATACCCCCTGGAGATATGTAAAGGTAAGGGGCGTTTTGCATGAGGGCCGTGGAGGCAACGTGAGGGATGCAGGCGAGAGAATTCTGGGGAATCGGCCCTGCTGAAAACTGCCACTCAGCCTGCGCCGAGAAAGAGACACCTTGAAGAAGTCGGAAACAGGGCTGGGGATGTGGCTCAAGCGGTAGCGCGCTCACCTGGCATGCGTGCGCCCCAGGTTCGATCCTCAGCACCACATACAAACAAAGATGTTGAGTACGCCGAGAACTAAAAAATAAATATTAAAAAATCTCTCTTTAAAAAAAAAAAAAAAAAAAAGAAGTCGGAAACAGCTGTGTTCTCAGCTGGGCGCAGTGGCGCAGGCCTGTCATCCCAGCCCATGGGAGGCTGAGGCAGGAGGATCTTGAGTTCAAAGCCAGCAACTTAGTGAGGTGCTAAGCAACTCAGTGAGACCCTGTCTCTAAGTAAAATACAAATTAAGGCTGGGGAGGTGAAAGAATGAACAAGGCTCCTTGTCGGAGAAAATGCCCTTTTATTGAGGAAGAGCTCTGCATATTTATACAGCCAGGGTGGTTTGACAGTTATGACAGTTTAATGGTTGAAGGGTTTGACAGTTGGCATGGGGTGCTTTCTGATTGGTGGGTAAGAATCATGTGAGCCAGCAGGGCTAGTCTGATTGGTGGGTAAG